CTGCGGCTGGACCACAACGTGGCCGTCCACTACCTGCCCCGCGCCGCGCGGCCGGGCGCCGTGCTCACCTTCCCGGTGACCGTCTCCAGAAACTGCTCGGAGGACCAGTTCACCTTGAGGTGAGTGAGCTCGGGATCCCCACCTGTGCGGGCTCAGAGGCCAGGTGTGGCTCTGACGCGCCCCCCCGTGGACGGGCAGAGCTGCGGCCAACCGGCTCCCTGTTTTCCTGGCAAAATGCAGGTCACTTGGACCTGTCCGGGTTGTGCATTTGGAGGCAGAGCTGTTCTGATCCATCCATTGCCTGGGTTGTCGCAGAACAGCCAGGGGACCCCGTGAGAGGCCTTCTGGGCAGCTTGGGTGCCTGCCCTTGGCCAGTGTCAGGAAGGCGAACCTGGCCCAGCTGGGGCCCCTTGACAGTTGGGGCTAAATGGCTGACCGGTGAGCTGAGCCTCCAGCGGGCCATGTGGGGCAGACGCTCGGCTCTGCCCCTCAGCGTCCGCTCCAAGCCTGTGGGCTCGGAGTCTGGGGTGGTACCAGCCCCAGCGACAGTTTTCTCTCGCTCTGGAAACAGCGCTGGGCGTGCATTTTGTAAAAGAGCGCAAGGTGTGACGAACCTCCTGTCCCATTTGTGGAGGATCTTGTAGGAGAACATGCCAGAGACCAGGCATTGACGAGAAGCGTCCTTTAGAGAAAACACGGGTTCGTTTGCTGTTTGGAACGTGTACTGTGAGAGACGCCGCTTGCCTCGCCTTAATTAGATTTTCGTTCAGTCGTTTTTGTTTTGAACCCAGCCGAGCTTGATTACAGCGGCCATCTGGCCTGTGTGCTGTGGGTCGCCAAGCACGTCCTAACGTGGTCTGAGGGGCCACGTCGTAAAATGTGTGTCCTGACCCGTGGAAATAGGGGTGCCATGGAACATGACACGTTTTCAATGCGGGTTTAAGAGTTCACCCGGTAATGATCGGTTCTCTCATCCCTCTTGGTCTGGGGGTAGTATTTTTCTTTTTTTGTTTGTTTGTTAGGGGTTGAGTGAGTTTAAGAAAGAATCACTGTTTTGCTCCTTTATCTTACAGGCAGCAGTTTATTATTGTGACCGAGTGCTAGGGATTGTCTTTGCATCTTAACCTAACAGTTGAACTTGGTTCAGCCTTGGAAATAAATAGCTTTGTATCCGATGACTGTTTGCTGCCCGCTAAACACGTCCTGATAGTCCCGAGGGCGGCTCTGTCATTGGCCGACGGTGACAAGCCAGGAGACGTCGAATGTGCTGGGCCCCATCGTCCAAGGGGTCCAGACCTTTGCAAACTCAGGAACCCACACAGCTGAGGCCTCTAGATGTGGTCGCTCCGTTTATAAGTCAGCTCGGGACATTTTGGACAAATGGCAAAACGGTGTTTGCTCAGAGCCCGTTTAGAAATTTGTTAAAGAGAAGAGTCAGCTTCCAGTTGAGCCCGTAGCGGATGTTTCTCGAGTGGCGTTTCGCCTGCTGCGAGCCCCGCAGCCTCTCGCTGCACAGGCGTCTGTGTGTGAGAACAGCTGGCGGGAACCCCGCATCCGCAGTGCGGTCAGCCTCTGGTCTGAAGCCTCATAATTAGAAAGTAATAAAACCGTGTACATCTTTCCTAATGAAGTCAATTCGACACTAACTGAGCATCGCTTCCAAGTGCCTGGCGTTGGTGTGGGTCTGCTCTCCGGCCATCTGCTGGAAACGACCCTGAAGGTCAGCCCGATCCATCTCCTCTGAAACTGTGACCGGTGGTTCTGGACTCGCTGTGTTGACGGTGTCAGCACTGCCCGGAGGTGGCTCCTGTTCCGTAGGCCAGGTGCCCGCGCGGCATCTATCGTCGCTTGAGGACGGCCGAGGCAGAGGGACCCTGTGAGGTGCCGGCACCGGGAGGGAGGCCTGCAGACCAGGCGGGCTGTGCTAGTTCTCACAGGTGACACCTCGGGGAACAGAGGCACTAGCTTCCAGCCTGGGGCTCAGTTTTGGGTGCCTCACACGCGCACCGACTGGGGCCAGGGACCAAACCTGCAACTCAGGCCCATGCCCCTGGCTGGGAAGCGACCCCGCGACCCCGTGACCCCGCGGGCTGACACTCTAACCACCGAGCAGCAGCGGCCGGGCTCAGCTCCACGTCTTGGCCTCGGTGCTGCCTGGCCCCTCTCTCTGCCCCGGGCCTGACGTCCTTCATTCCCGGTCTTCCCGGGCGGGCTCTCTCGGCCCGTGGTTCTAGCTTCTCCAGGGAGACGTGTCACCTCACTCTGACCTGGGAGCACTAAGAGGCGCCCTCTCTAGTTTGACCTCAGCCTGGGCTTGAGCCCCAGTAGTTACCCTCCGTGGGACCTCGGGCATGTCACCTCTAAAGTGAGAAATTTTAACCCCTAACTCACGGTTTTGTTCTAGAAAGTCACGAACCACTGAGGGCGGTGGGAGGGGGACAGGAACGTGCGCGTGAGAATCGTAGCAGTGGCACCGCAGGCCCGTTGCTTCCTCTACAGCGGGCACATCTTAGGGGAGACGGTTTCTTTTTTTTCTTCTTTTTTAATATTTTTTTATTAACTTAGGTGGGAACTCGGCTCCCAGAGTTATTGCTTAACTGCTTTTGGCTGCGTATTTTTAGGTTTTAGAGGCAAAAGCTTTCAAAGCCGCTGTGTTTGCCTCTCATGCCCCTGAGCGCGTTAGTGGTTCCCGGGCAATAAGAGAAGGAGAGAAGATGAGAGTGGGCGGCCAGGCAGGCTGGTCACCCGGAGATGGATGGGAGGCGACATGGGCCCTGACGGCGCGGGCGCGGGCTGGTGGAAGGGCTCTCCCGCCATCCATCACCCGCTCACCAGCACCGGATGTCATCCTGACGCTCCCGCATCCCCAGAGAGCTGGGAAATGAACCCGATCGGGGAGGGCTCGTGCCGGCCCCTGGACCTCACGGGACTCGTGCTGCTGGGGAGATACCCACCCCAGAGCCCCTTTCCCCGCAGAGTTCAGGCCTCCCCACGTCCCTGTTTATGCTCAGGAGACGGGATCAAAGACGTAACAAGCTCCTCACAGGGTGAGTTTCCCGGGTCACATTCCCCAGCTGGCCTCCGGCGTTTGCCAAAACTCACGTCATTGCGTTTAAATTCTTTCCTGAATCAGGCACAAAGATAAGGCTTGGAAACGTCCTGACTTTTGAAAACATCACTCTGAGCAACCTGGAGGCTGTTGTTGGTTGGACCTGGACAGAGACGTGCCCGATGTCTCTGTTTTAGGAGAATGGTTCTGGCTTCTGTGTGGAGAACAGACTGGAAGGGGCAAGATTAGAGACAGGAGAGAGGAGCAATAGCCCCGAGAGGAGCGGGTGCTTGTCCCACCGCAGCCGGGGAGCCGTGGGGGTGGGTGAGCCCCCAGGCTGCGTGGCCAGCACCTGCCAGCGGGTCCTTTGAGCTGGAAAGAACGAACAGTCAGAGATGACCCCGGCCATGGGGCAGACGGCCCTTGTAGGAAGAAGAGCGGGTTTGGGGACAAAAGCAGAAATGGGTTCGTGTGGGCTCGAGACACCGGCGACTGGGCTTGGGCAGCGTTGGGCCACTTCAGGGCTCTGTCATCGAGCACAGCGAACTCTGGATGCCTCCCAGAGAGGAGCCCAGGTTTTTACATCCCATACGTCCCTCTCCTGTTGGGGCCGTGCATTCAATTATAGAACGAGATTGTCCTTAAAAAAAAAAAATTCCTTATGGTGTTTAAATGAGGAAGAAAATGACGACGGAAACTCAGTTTGCGTCAAAGAAAGTCGTTTAACAGGTTTCTTTAACACCTGCT